CTCTTTGGTTTTTATAACTAATCCTCGGGCAAATGATGTTAACGTCTTCAATAAACTGTTAAGAAACTGTTAAGAGTCCTTCGGGAGTAGGGTGGTATATAAATCTAATAAAAGAAAGAAAGAAAGAAAGAAAGAAAGAAAGAAAGAAAGAAAGAAAAAGAAAGAGAAAGAAAGAAAGAAAGAAAGAAAGAAAAGAAAGAAAGAAAGAAAGAAAGAAAGAAAGAAAGAAAGAAAGAAAGAAAGAATACCATGAGAACCAGTGCCATATCTTAATATATTTTCCACTCTCCCCCTAATTCACTCCGATATTGATGATATCCAATTATACACCTCTGTCCCTGATGAATTAAGTGATGCTGTGAACGTCTTACCCCGGTGTCTGGAGGCTATGAGGATCTGGATGGGGAACAACAGGCTTCATTGAATCCTGATGAGTAGCTTTTGACTTGAAGTCCACTAGTTCCAGGATTATGCCATCTTTGGTGCTGGACAGGTTTGCACTGTCCAGACAGATCATGTGTGCACCCTATCCTCATGACTCCTGCTCAAGGAGCAGGTGGCAGTCAAGGCTAGAACACGGGGTGAAATCTAAAATTTGTTACTACCAGTTCTGTGGGCGTGACTTGGTGGTGGTGGGGTAATGTGACAGGGTGGGTGTGGCCAATTTTTTTTTTTTTTACTTTTAGAAGCATTTTTTCTACAACCTTAAGAGATTGCAGAAAAAAATGCTTTTAGAAGCCTCTGACGATCAGGCAACTCAGCTGGGATCGCCAGAGGCTTTTAAAGTCATTTTTTTTTTCTACAACCTCTTCGGCCGAAGAGGTTGTAGAAAAAATGCTTTTAAAAGTAAAAAAAACAGCCTCTAATGATTGCGCGACTCAGCTGGGCATGGGGGGGGTGCAGAGATTTTTTGCTACCGGTTCTCTGAACCACCCACCGCCATCGCTACCGGATTGGGCGATCCAGTCCGAACTGGGAGCATTTCACCCCTGCTAGAACACCTTTGGACACCTTTATCTTGTGCTCCAGTTGTGACCATTCCTGAATTGGCAGGACCTGCTTAGTCACTCATGTCCTTGTCACCTCCAGATTTGATCACTGCAATGCAATCTACATAGGGCTGCCCCGAAGAGAATTCAGAAGCTTCGGCCATTACAAAATGTAGTGACACAAGCAACTCATGTTACACCTCTGTTATGCAAGCTATATTACCAGTTTGCTTCCGGGTCCATAATGTTTTCATAATTTTTACTTTAATCTGAATTTTATATTAACTTTTATATTTGTTCTTACTCAATTGTTGTACACTCAATGTGACCCAGAGTCACATTTTGTGAAGTAGGCAGCTATATAAATTTGATTAATAAATAAATAATAAATTCCTTTCAGAAAAAAATACATCAAGCCTGAAGCTGACCTGGCTACAGCTGCCTTCTTTTCGGTGGGGTTTCTTTTCACATGGCTTCAGGTTGACACAGCTTGGAGCTGAAGAGGGTAGCAATAGATGGGGTTTATAGCCAAAACAGAATAGCTCTCTGATGAGTCAGAGACATTCCAACGGCTGGCTGGCCAGAGGAGGAGGAGAGACATAACCAGGCAACCAGCAAATATCCAGATTGGATAATGTGATTTATTGTTTTGAGAAAACAGGAAACTTTTGCTTTTTAATGTGGTGGAAAATGGGGGAACATTCAGAGTTGGCTTTCCACCAATTTATGCTAAGATGGTATCTCCAAATAAACTGTTCTTTGAGGAACAAACTTGCCTCGGAGTTCTGCTTGCAATGGGTGTATTACCTGGAATCCTGACAAAATGCACATTCTGGCTATTAAGAAAAAAAAACCTTCCTAACAGTAGGAGTAATTTGTCAAGATCCTCTGCTAAGATCAAGGCATAACATCTACAGCTTTTCCATAAACTATTTTTAAAAGTTACCTGGAATAAGAGATTGATGTTGGAATTTGACAAATTACTCCTGAATGGCTAACTGCCTATCCATGGAAGTTCTTTGATTTACTAAAACCAGGAGGAGACTGGTATTTTTTCAAACTAATGAATTTTATTAAAAGACATATTCTTTCCTGGGCTACTGCTCACTTCATTATAACTAAATTAATACAGTATTTAAACTAGGAGGGAAGGGAGGCAAAGAAGATTATTATGTTCTGTGAACAGATGAGATAGAAGTGAAACTTAGTGGCATCAATGAGAAACACTGTGCTTGGAGAAAACAAAACACTTTAAAAGAACATAATCCAATTTATGAAGCATGGCAGTAAAACAGTTCACACATGAAACCTATTGTACACCACTATTATTAAATCAGTTGATTTCTTACACTAAGTATTAATATTGCCCTGCTTTTGTTCATATTCTAAGAACTAATGTCTCGATCTTGCCCACTAAGTAACATTGTGCAACCCACTAGTATTTGTTTGAAAATTCAATAAATCCACTATTGCCAAACATTGTTACTGTCAAAAAGGAGAAAAAACACATATTGAATGGCTGTCTCTCACTAACCACCAGCTCCCTTCCTATTGCCAAATAGCTGACCGGCCCATCAGGGGTCGGTCCTCTCACCCCTTACAACATTTATGTGAAGCCGCTGGGTGAGATCATCCGTGGCTTTGGGGTGAAGTACCATCAGTACGCTGATGACACCCAGCTGTACATCTCCACCCCAGGCCACCCCAACGATGCCCTTGAAGTGATGTCCCAGTGAGCCAGGCTAAGATTCGATATTGGGATAAAAGTCAAATATTAGAAATCCAAATCTTTGGTCAAGACAGAAGTGCCTCTTCCGTGCCAAGGTGCTGAGATGACAAACGGTATTTGACGTAGGTACAGAATTGTAAAAGGGCAAACTGACCCTAAACAGATACATTCTGTTGTTTAATGTTTATTGCATCCCAAATGTCATGCATATCCCTGGATAAGGGGTGCTGCTTCCTTATTGCCCTTGAGGCGTCTTCTAGCCTCTTATCTCCTTTTGTTATGTCTTGAGCTCCGGAGCTGAAAACCTGAGCCTGTGGGAACAGGGCTGTTATGTCTTTCCTAGAGATAGATTAAAGGGTAGCTTCTACGTGTGAAATGCATCACTCTCTGTAATAATTTTGCCTTTAAACTATATAAATACATGGCCAGAAGAAGCCATCGGCGTTCAGACCCTTTTCTTGTCTTTGGACTGTTTGAACCGTGCACAATAAACTTTTTCCTGCATTGGAGAGCTTGCCCAGTCCGTTATTTTGTCTACAAAACCAGTGCCTGGAGGCTGTGCGGATCTGAATGGGGAGGAACAGGCTCAAGCTCAACCCTTCCAAGACTGAGTGACTGTGGTTCCCGGCATCCCGAGTCTTTGGCCCCTGCGGAGAGGGTGCGCAATCTGGGAGTCCTCCTGGATACGCAGCTGTCCTTGGAGGAACATCTGACGGCTATAGCCAGGGGGACCTTCTGTCAGGTTCGCCTGATCCGCCAGTTGCGGCCCTTTCTTGATCAGGATTCCCTGTGCACAGTCACCCACGCCCTCGTCACCTCGCGCCTGGACTACTGCAACACTCTCTACATGGAGCTCCCCTTGAGGAGCACCCAGAGGCTCCAACTGGTCCAGAATGCGGCCGCGCGAGTAATCACGGGAGCCGCCTGGCGCTCCCACATAACACCGCTCCTGCATGAGCTGCACTGGCTCCCAGTGGTCTTCCGGGTGCACTTCAAGATGTTGGTTACCACCTTTAAAGCGCTCCATGGCATAGGACCTAGTTATCTTCGAGACCGTCTGCTGCTACCGATGACCTCCCACTGACCTGTGTACTCCCACAGAGAGGACCTCCTCGGGGTGCCATCAGCCAAACAATGTAGGCTGGTGACCCCCAGGGGGAGGGCCTTCTCTGTGGGGGCACCTACCCTCTGGAATCAGCTGCCCCCAGAGATAAGCAGAATCCAAGACCTCGGTACCTTCCGCCATGCCCTTAAAACTTTCTTTTTTCAGCAAGCTGGGCTGGCTTAATATATTTTTTAACATATTTTTAAAATATTTTTAATTGGTTTATTATCTTAAATTGGGGCCAAATTAATATATATCCTTTTAATTGTTTTTAATGTTTGTATTGTATGTTTTTATCTAAATGTTATCTAATTCTGGGTTTTATTTAATTGACCAAACTAAGTAATAATTTTAATTAGCAATTTTATGATGTTTGTGTGTCTATATTTTTCTTGACTGTACACCGCCCTGAGTCCCTCGGGAGAAGGTGCGGTATACAAATTTGAAATAAAATAAATAAAATAAATCAGTGATTCCTTTGTGATATGTGATTAATTGTAATGTATCAATGTGTCCCATTCCCCTCTATGAGTTGTGCAAGGCTGGTCTAAACAACAGTGAAGTACGTACTGGTACCCATTCCACTGTGGCTTTTATAATTATAGAAACATCAGAACCTCTTTTATATTATTTGTTCACTTTGCTGATCTATGACTGGTTTTGCAGTATCCGAAGCAGAACAACTAAATTCGGTAATAGTTTCATACCATATATATCACTTTGTTAACTCTCAAGACTCTTTTTTCCGCTATGTATTCTAAATGGTCTGTGATTAATGTGTCTGTATATATACGGTATATATAGAGAGCATATGTATCTATGATATGAGTGTATGTGTATATACATACATACACACATATACATACAGACACTTTTGAGATCAGGTATCAGAATTTCATTTTTTTAATGTGTTCCAATGTGTTCACAGAAAAATAACAATAAAGGTTATCTTACCTTATCTTACCTTACCTTACTGAAAACAATTTAGTGCGGGGCATACTTGAGCCAAATTTCCATTTATCTGTTATATTCTTAAATCCTCACAATTTAGCACCAATTTACATTAAAAAATGTAACTAACATGGCAAACAGAAACAAGAAAGAGGGAGTGCTTTCTCAGTGATTACCCATATTTAGAGTATATACATTTTAGTACATAAGCAATTATTTGTCCTACCTGTGCCGTTGGCTGATGACTGTTCTATTCCTTGAGATACCTTGGTTACATGGCAAGAGTTTCTTAGTGATCGTTTCTGCTTCTTCCATTTTGATGAATCACTCATCCCTCCTGTTCTCATTTTCAACTGTGAATAATAAACACAAGTCTCCTATAGCCAGAAGAATTGTAACAGTATTTTATTAGTTCAGAACAATATTCCTGGTATTCATATTCCAATAATAGAGCATGTGGGGGGGGGAGAGGGAGAGAGGGAGAGGGAGAGAGGAGGGGGGAATATAGCTCCAAATTGAATTGATGGATTTTGGAGCTCACCCAGCTTTCAGATGTACATTGTGTATGTACATTGACATATACAAATCAGTTCCCAAATACAGAAAAGGAAATATTGTTGGACATTTTGATTTCCATAATCCCCCTTTTCAGTTAAAAGTTTACATTCTTTTTTATTTTAGTTTATTTTGAAACTGTATTCTAAAGCCTTAATTTACAAGCTAGAGATCCAATTTGATGTAGTGGTTAAGACAACAGGCTAGAAAATGATTCTAGTTCCATCTACTGTAGAGCACAAAGCAACCTGGGGCCAGTCAATCTCTCTTAACATTAATAAGAAGGCAATGGACAACTATTTTTGAACATCTTGCCAAGAAAACAGCATGAACTTGCTAGACTTTTATGATGCTTCAAATGCACCAAACAAAACAAAACCATTATTTTTTTAAAAAAACTTTGCAAGCTAAGTATTCTGCAGGTAGTCTTCAATTTACAATCATTTACCCAGTGACTGATTGAAATTAATGATGGTGCTGAAAGAAGGGACTTACAACCAGTACCTGGAAGTTATAGCTACTGTAGCACCCAACAATCATGTAATCAAAATTCAGGTTCTTGGCAACCTGTCTGTACTTACAATCGTAAGGGCACTTCAACTCCCTCCACTTGCCTTTCTCTCTCCATCTATGCACTTTGGGACTCCTGCTGCCCTATGCTCCACTGATTCAGATGACCTTGAACAGCAGCAGGAGTGTCCTTGCTCCTGCTGCTGCTGAGGCCTGGCCCTTCACTCCAAAATGCCTCTTTGTGCTGCCCTGCTGGGCTGGCTTCCTAGAGCTCCATGGTTTGGGGGCTGTTTCTTGCTTGTTCATTATTTCTACTTCTTGTGGTGTCTTATCCTTCTTGTCCTATTCCATTAGCTGGAGTGTGTGGAGGAAATAGACAACTCTTCTGAAAAACAAACTAACTCAAACTGAGAGGCATTCCAACTCCAAGCAGCAACTTTAGGAGAAGATTTTAATTATTGCCTGCCCCCAGTGAAGTGAGTGATACTTGTGGACATTGTTACATGGTGCCTAGACACGGTGGCAAACAACAACCTTCAGATGAACCCTGGTAAAATGGAGTAGCTGTGGGTGGGCCCTTTTGCATCCTGGAGATTATCATCTTTGCTCTTGGATGGGCTGTACTATCCTCGACAGGCCCAATGTATAATCTGGGAATCCTCCTGGACTCATGGCTCCTCCTGAAAGAGCAGATGGCAGAGTGCTAGGAGGGTTTTTGTTCAACTTTGTGTGCCAGTTACGCCCTTTCGTAGATGGGGAGGGTCTCTGCTCTGTCACACATGTTCTGGTCATCTCTTGTTTGGACTATTTCAATAAACTCTTAAATGAGGCTGCCTTTGAAAAATATCCAGGAACTTCAGCTGGATCAGAACAATTTTGAGTGCCCAAAGTGCATGTAACATCTTTGCTCTGCGAACTGCATTGGGTGTCAGTTTGCTTCTGGGTACAATTCAAGGTGTTGGTTAGGACATATAAAAGCCCTACCCTGCATGGATACCTTGGGACTGTCTTCACCCTGGCCAGGCAGGTAAGGTATATTGTCATTTAAAGAATTCAGACTTGTGGGGTCCAGGAAGAGAGCCTTCTCTGCCACTGTCCCATCCCTGTGGAATATTCTCCCCTAGAGGTGAGTCTGGCCCCCATTCTCTTGGCCTTCCAGAAAGGAATGAAAGACAGACTCTGAGACCTTGAATGGGAAGCTCAGAGGAACATGCAATCTGAAAGCCCTCCCTTCGACTTTCAGTTGATTTTTAACATTGTTTTAATCATCCTTACCTCTTTTTAAAAATTTTAAGTTTTATGTATTGTTTTGATGCTTGTACCCTCTGTGTGGGAGATGGGCAGTTCCAAAATGTGATAAATGTAATAAATGAATAATATTTGTGCTGACAGCTGACTGTATTCCTGCTTCTTCAATCAATTTTTTGTAACTCTACTACAGTTGGCAAAAAATGGTTCCCTTTAACGAACCTGGGTTGGGTTTGATAGCAAATGCCCTATGGCTAAGAAACAATTGCTCTCTTGCTTTAAAAACACAAAAATAACCTTCTATTCTATTCAACCTAAGATTTGTTATTTCTCAGGAGACAATATAAACAATTACTACAGATAAAGAAGAGATAGTGTTGATAGAGTCAGGGAAGCAAATAGTATCTGTATCTTGTCTTCCTAAAAGACAATCTAATTGAGTGGTTGAATGTGCTAAAACACTGGAAAAAGGCCAGTAATAAACTCTAACTCCAGCTTTTGGGAGGGTTGGGCTGAAAATAAAAACTTAGTTGAATCTTGCCTGAGCTCTCCCCCTGGGAGCCGCCAGTCGACATTGTTTGGCCGACGGCACCCTGAGGAGCCCCTCTCTATGGGAGCGTACTGGTTGGTGAGAGGCTACTGGTGGCAGAAGGCAGTCTCGTAAATACCCCGGTCCTAAGCCATGGAGCGCTCTAAAGGTGGTAACCAGAACCTTGAAGCGCACCCGGAAGACCACAGGGAGCCAGTCCAGCTCGCGCAGGAGGGGGGTCACATGGGAGCGACCCCTCGCTCCCATAACCACCCGCGCGGCTGCATTCTGGACCAGCTGGAGCCTCCGGGTGCTCCTCAAGGGGAGCCCCATGTAGAGAGCATTGCAGTAGTCCAGGCGGGAAGTGACGAGGGCATGAGTGACCGTATTTAACGAGTCCCGATCCAGAAAGGGACACAACTGGCGAATCAGGTGAACCTGATAAAACGCCCTCCCGGCCACGGCCGTCAAGTGCTCTTCTAAAGACAGCTGTGAGTCCAGGAGGACTCCCAAGTTGTGAGCCCTCTCCGTGGGGGCCAATGACTCGCCCCCAATAGTCAGTGATGGCACCAACTGACTATATCGGGATGTCGGAAACCACAGCCACTCGGTCTTGGATGGGTTGAGCCTGAGTCTGTTCCTCCCCATCCAGATCCGTACAGCCTCCAGGCACCGGGACATCACTTCAAGGGCATCATTGGGGTGGTCCGGGGTGGAGATGTACAGCTGGGTGTCATCAGCGTACTGGTGGTACTTCACCCCGAAACCACGGATGATCTCACCCAGCGGCTTCACATAAATGTTGAACAGAAGGGGCGAGAGACCGACCCTTGTGGCACCCCACATACAAGGGGCCTCGGGGTCGACCTCTGCCCCCCTGCCAACACTGACTGCGACCGGTCGGAGAGGAAGGAGGAGAACAACCGTAACACGGTGCCTCCCACCCCTAGCTCTTCCAGCCGGTGCAGCATGATACCATGGTCAATGGTATCAAAAGCCGCTGAGAGGTCTAATAGGACCAAGACAGAGGAGCAACCCATGTCCCGAGCCCTCCAGAGATCATCAACCAATGCGATCAATGCCATTTCCGTGCTGTACCCAGGCCTGAAGCCCGACTGGAACGGATCCAGATAAGCCGATTCATCCACGTACTGAGGGAGCTGTCGTGCTACCACACTCTCAACAACCTTCGCAACAAAGCGAAGGTTGGAGACTGGACGGTAGTTCGCCAATATTGCCGGGTCCAGGGAAGGCTTCTTGAGGAGAGGTCTCACCACCGCCTCTTTCAAAGCGGCGGGAAAGACAGTCTCACTCAGAGAAGCATTTATAATTCCCTGGAGCCAGCCTCGTGTAACCTCCCGAGAGGCCAGCACCAACCAGGAGGGACACGGGTCCAATAAACATGTGGCAGCATTCAGTCTACTCAGTATCCTGTCCACGTCTTTGGGAGTCACAGAATCGAACTCTTCCCAGATAATATTCTCAAGACCTGCCTCCATCCTCCCCCCTGAATCTACCCCGTCAGAGTCCAGATGTTCCTGAATCTGAGCGATTTTACCATACAGATACTGTACAAAGTCCTCAGCTCTACCCTCCAAGGGGTCCTCCCGCGCTTCCTGAAGGAGCAGGGAGCGGGTCACCCTAAACAGGGCGGCCGGGCGGTTATTTGATGATGCAATAAGAGCAGAAAAATAGTTACATTTTGCCGCTTTTATCGCCACAAGGTAAGTCTTAATATGAGACCTTACCAGTGTTTGGTCAGATTCAGATCGGCTGGCCCTCCAACCACTCTCCAAGCGTCTTTTCCGGCGCTTCATCTCCCTCAGCTCCTCGGTGTACCAAGGAGCCAAGCGAGATCGGCGCCGGGTCAGAGGCCACAAAGGCATGACCTGATCCAAAGCTCCAGCAGCCGCCCTATCCCTGGCGGCCACCAGGTCTTCGGTCGAGCCGTGAGCCAGAACCTCAGGAAATGGCCCAAGCTCCGTCTGGAACCGATCAGGGTCCATTAGGCGCCTGGGGCGGAACCACCTCATCGAGTCCGCCTCCCTGTGGCAGGGTGTAGCGGTTTGAAGGTCAAGGCGAAGGAGGGAATGATCCGACCATGACAAGGGTTCAGTCACTATATCCCCAATATCGAGATCATTCAACCACTGACCAGAGACAAAAACCAAGTCCAGAGTGTTTCCCCCCATATGAGTAGAGCCATGCACTAACTGGGTCAGGTCCATAGCCGTCATGGAAGCCATGAACTCCCGCGCCGCCTCAGACGTTTCACCGATGGATGGCAGGTTAAAATCCCCCATGACCATAAGCCTCGGGGTATCAACCGCCACCCCGGCTATAACGTTGAGCAGTTCGGGCAGGGCCGCTGCCACATGGCAGGGAGCCAGGTACGTGATCAGCAAGCCCACCTGTACCCCATGACCCCACTTCACCAGGAGGGACTCACAACCAGCAATCTGAGGAACAGTGGCCTCCCTCGGACCAAGACCTTCTTTTATAACAACCGCC